CCTAGTTCTCCAGCAGGGCAGTGCTGAGGGCTCAGGTCCCCACACCCATGTCCTCTCTCTCCTTCCCCAGCTCCTCCCTGCTGCCAGCTCAGAGTTCCCAGCTGTTCCCATCTCCTGGGCCTGGCTCCATCTCTCCTGGTGACCTATTTTGCGTGTGGCCCATGTCCCTCAGGGCGGGGGCAGTGGGATGTGTCATGTGTGTGACAAGTGGGAGGACCCCAGGCCTCTCTGCCCCCAGTGTTCCAGGCTTCTGAGTCCCACCTGGGATGGGAGGGGAGCAATAGAGAAGCTTGGAGGGCAGAGCAGGGCATGAATCCCTGGCTCGTTCTGGATGCGGTCTGCCCAAAGGTCCCACACTCCAAATCTATACCACGTCTGGCTCTCCTTGGGTGTCCCTGCGCTGGGCCCACAGTGGGTACAGGGAAGGAGTGGTCTGGGGGGCAAGGGCAGGGGAGGAAGTAAGACCAGGGCTGGGGACAGGAGGGTTACTGGAACGGAAGAGCAGGAGACAATGGGTCTGGGATCCCGGTGGAAGGTGGGGTCAGAGCCTGAAGCAGGAGCTGGGCAGGGAGAGAGAACAGGCCCAGGGGAAGCTCTTGGTTGTGGGGTTGTGGAGAGGCTAGTCCCTGTCCCCTTCACCGGGTCCTTAGAGTGTGGGCGCGCAGGCATACTTGTGCACGTATTAGACACGCAGGCGAGGGTGCATGCGTGCACCTTGGAGAGCGAAACCGGGAGGGGACAGGCTCAGGCAGTCAGGCGAGTGGACTGTGGTGTGGTCAGAATCCCTCCTGTCCTCTGTGAGGCTGCAGAACTCCAGACACTGACTCCGTCTGATGCCACAGCTGCCCAGACCCCTTCCTCTTTGAGACGTTGACCCCCACACCGGCACCCCGCACACAAGCTTCCTCTTCCCCATCGCCCTGGGCACTGAGGTTGTTGAGGGCCACTCCATGTCCTGTCTACGCCAGCCTGGGGCCCCAGCACCCAACTGCCCCCTCGGCCCTCTCCCAGCTGTCTGGCCTCCCCTCCCCCAACCTCGGTTTGGTGCCATCCTGCTCCCTGGCTGTATCTGGCCCTGGGATTCAGACCTTGCCGGTGATCAGAGTATGGAGTAGGAAGGCTGGCGCTTCCCTGGACACATAGAAACACCTAAGACCTAAGACCCCCCCCCACTTCACCCCACCCCACCCCACAGCAGGCAGCCTCTGTCTCAGGCAGCACTTCCGTAGCCCCAACAGGAAATGGGCTGGAGGCTCAGCCCCCCACCATCTCAAAGCCACTTCTTGTTTCCTTGTTGCCTTGTGCCAGCCCTGGGGTTGTGCCCCTTGGCTCCACCCCTAAAGCCTTCCCAGGGTTTCGTCCCAGCAGCTCTGAGGGGACAGGATGGTGGACAGGATTGCCAGGCTGACCAGGAGGCGGAGTCAGGCCCTGCGGGGACAGGTAGGGGGCCGTGGCATTTGGGGGCAAGCTCAGCCTCTGGTGGGGACGGCCAAGGGCCTCTGGATCAAGGTGCCACTAGTGGGCCTCTGTTCTCTGGCCCTCTCAGGAGCTGGCTGAGGGGAGCTTCGGAGCAGGACATCTCTCAGACTTCGGGGACTCCTCCCTGCTTTCCTCTTCCCTTTGCCAAGGCCTTCGCCTGCCTGGGAGGGGCTGCAGGGGGACTCTGAGAGATGATGATCAGCGCAGGGGGACAGGCAGGCCTGCCACCTGCTTGTGGGCAAGGGGAGGGCTGCGGGGCTGGGCAGCTGGATGTGGTGAGAGCCAAAGCCCCTCTTGCCGCTGAGGTAGGAGACCACTTCCCCTTTCCTACTGTTGTCCCCCGTGTCTCTGTTGTGATTGGGATCTGGGCCCCGAGAGCTGTTGGTGCCTAGTCAGGGCCCCACTGATGGGCTGTCACTGGGTGTTGCCTGGACCTCCAGGAGTCATGGGCAGGGTGGCAGGCCCTGCTCTAACCGGCACGAGCTTCCCCTTGAAGGCCAGAGGGCACAGAGGGACTGGCCCTGCCTGACTTCCAGTCTGATCCTGGCTTTCTCCTAGCACTGGAGGGGCTCTAACAGGGAGAAAGTTCTAGAGTTTGAAGGGGCCTCAGGGCCACTGCGTGTGGTCCAGCTCCCACCACAGGGCTGTAGCATCACTGACAGGGGGTTGGACTTTGCCTGCTCACGTCCAGTGAAAGCCCCTTCCTACCTCCTGAAGCAGCCTGTGTCTCTGGGGCAACCCCTCCCAGGGGCCCTGCCCTGCCCCCATTTGGCCTCTGGTCTGCAGCCTGGAGCCCCACAGTGCGATTCTGCATCTCCTCTTCCTCTGACAGCCCCCTCATGCTGAGAGCCTAAACATCCAGCTCCTAGCTCTCACCTCTACCCACTAGGGCTACTTTGTGTGAGATCCCCATCACCCTGGCCAGCCTGGGACTCCCCATGGACTCACAGGCAAGACCAGCAGCCTGCAGGTGGAAATCCGTGCTCCATAGAGCCTGGCTCCTTCCTCAGCTCATCTATGCCCCACATGACCTCCCAGCCCCTGTCCCAAGGAGGGGAGGGCACCTGCCTCAGCAGGTCCAGCTGGGGCAGGTGGGAAATGTGTCTGGTCACCCACCTTCCTCTGTCCACTGCCTCCATCCTGGTCTCCCAAAGAGACTCCTGTGTTGAACCCCCACTCCCAGGAAATCCTTGTCCAAAGCTAACTTGAGTCTCCTGTGGTGTCAGGTGTGTTTGTTTGTTTGCTGCTGAAATGTGGCTTGGAATTGGCTTTTGTCTTCAATCAGTAAGTACTTTTGGTGGATTGGCTGTGTGCTTCAGGGCATTGGGCCAGCAGCTAGAGGGCAACTGGGGTCAAGTACATCATCCTGGGTCCCCCTCTCAAAAAAAAAAAAAAAAAAAAACAGCCTTTGGGATCAGAGGAGGTAGGCAGATGAGTGGACAACTCAAGGCGGAATGCTGCCGGGCCCGAACAGAGGGATGAACTGCATGTCAGTGCGCCAGACGTCTCTCCTGAGGGAGAAGGCCTCTCCTGGAGGCTTGGAGCAGAGCACCAGCAGAGGAGCAGGATTTGGGTAGGCAGGTATGAGAGCAGAGAGTTCCAGGCTGAAGGACCCACTGGAGCAAAGGTGCAGAGATAGGAAGGTGGCTTTGTGTTTGGGGGAGGGTCCATGGGCCGGTGTGGGTGGAATATGGGATGGCTGCGGTGGACAGAGAGAAAGGAGAAGCGGGGTGGGGGGTTCCTGTCTCAGCCACACAAGTGCTTGCGGGGTGAGGGAGAGGAGTGAGGATCTGGTGTATCCAGCTCCTCCTGTTCCCTCCATGCCTGGGACCTGCCCCTGATGATCTAAAACTGTACCACTGCTTTTCTGACACTTTGTCTCCTGCTAGCAGTAACTACCACGGGCAACGTGCTGTGCTGTGCATTTCACTTCTCACCCTGCTCATCTCCCTCCCTGCTCCCTGACCATTTACCCAGGCTGCCCAGTAGGGATGTGGGTCCCTTTGTTCACTGCAGCGTTCCCCAGTGCCTAGAACAGTGCGTGCACCGGACAGGTGAATCTTTGTGGGACAAACGAGTGTGTTTTTAGGCGCCTTCCTAAGGCCCAGGGAGATGCCACCTTGACATGACCGGCTTCCCCTCTTGGGAAGTTTACAGCTTAGTGAAGGCATCACAGGCAGTTCTGTGATTAAAAAAGGCGGGGCAGGGAGGGGTGGTGATTGTACAAAATTTTGAGAAAAGTTTAAAGAAGAAAGAAAGAAAGAAAGAAAGAAAGAAAGAAAGAAAGAAAGAAAGAAAGAAAAGAAAGAAAGAAAGACCCCATCCATATAACTAAACTGCCCAGAGGAGATAACTATCTCTGTTAGCATTTTGGAGGGTTTCTAAAAACACAGATTTGAAACTATATACTGGCTCCCCATGTCGAAGTCTGCATTTCCCTTGTAGCACTAGATCTTCCTAGAAACAGTGTTAATCTTCTGGGGCTCTTCTGCTGCCTGGGGTTTAAGAGTGTCCTTATCTATCCCTCTGGCCAGCTAAGGGTGCTAGGCGGTGGTGGGCAGGCCAGAGGAATCTCAGGAAAGGTCTTGAACCTGACACCTGAGTCCTGAAGAAGGAATTGGAGTGGGCCAGGTGAAAAAAGGGGTGGGGATGGGCCTAGGCAGACTCTGAAGGAGCCAGGCCCATAAAAGATATACAGCAGGGAGGGTGGAGCCTCCAGCAGCCCCAGGCTCCTAGAGCATAAAGTTCAAGGCAGGGGGCCAGGAATGGCAGGACATAAAGAAGACAGAGAGGTGACAGGCCCCTCAGGTGCCCTGTTAAAGGTGAAGACTTTGCCCCGCAGGCCGCAGGGAGCAGTGGGGTGTTGAGCATGACCAGACGTATGTTGTGTGTGGCCGGACCCTCCAGCCCACCTGGCTTTCCTTTGGAGGGCACGAGGGGCTCATCTTTCCTAGCTCCTCCTTCCTTCCTCCCATCTGGCTTGCCTCTGTCCCTTCTCTGCAGTTGATCCTGAGGTCTGCAAAAACCACGTTCAGGAAGTTTCCGTCCCAGATCAGAGGTGGTACTGATTCCAGTCCCAGAGATTTCAGGGACAGGAAGGAAGGAGGGGTGCGGGCTGTAGAGTGCAGCAGGGCCCTGCCCCTCTGTGACCTGAATGGGGAGGAAAAGGAATGGGGCCCATTTCTCTATTCCTGCCCAACCTCTGATTGGCCCCCTGGAGTGCACAGTGAGTGCGCAGCTGGGAGAACTCCAGATATCGATGTTTTATTATTGCTAATAAATAATGTAAGTGCCCTACGCATCTGCGACATTTCATATTTGACAGTGCCCCTTCACGAATATGTCCTCGTTCTCTCTTCACTACAATTTCCAGAGCGGGCAGGGCAGACATTGTGCAGCGGCGGAACTGAAGCAGGGGCTACTCCAACTTGCCGAAGGTCGCCCAGGTGGGAAGTGGCTGGGTCGGGACTGCGTGACCCCGGAGCTGCCCCGACGGTCACGCCTCCTTCCTCCTCCCACAGGTGGTCGACCCCCCGGAGCCCGTGTACGGGAACGTAGAGAGGCAGCCCCTGCCCACTTCACCTGGCACCGCCTCGGTCCCCCGCCCCCCCGCATGGGAGAAGCACCTGGACGCGGGCAGCGGGCGCCCCTACGATTACAACCCAGACACGGGCGTGACCACCTGGGAGTCGCCCTTCGAGGCCTCTGAGGGCGCCGCCAGCCCACCACCTCTCCGGCCTCGGTGGGCAGCCGCGAGAGCCTCGAGACAGACTGGGGCCAGTACTGGGATGAGGAGAGCCGCAGGGTGTTCTTCTACAACCCGCTGACGGGCGAGGCCGTCTGGGAGGACGAGCCCGAGGACGAGCTGGAGGACATGCAGCCAGGCCTGAGCCCACTGGACCCCGGGACTGGAGGGTGAGGGGGCGGGGCCTGGCCGGGGGGCGGGGTGACTGAGGCCTCAGACCCCGCCTCCTGCCCCGCCCCCCGGGAATGAGGGTTAGGGGCGGGGCCTGGCCCGGGTGGGCGTGGTGACTCAGGCTTCAGGCCCCGCATCCTGCACCCCGCAGTCCCCAGGACTGCTACTGAGGGGCGTGGCCTGGTATGAAAGGGCGGGGCCCAGGGTCCCTACTGGCTCAGGGTCAGAGAGCCTCTGACTCCCTCTCCTGCTCCTTGCAGCCCCCTACCCCTGAAACGGACTACCCCGAGTCGCTGACCAGTTACCCCGAGGAGGACTATTCCCCCGTGGGCTCTTTGAGTGACCCTCGGCCCACCTCTCCGTTGGCCGCGCCCCCCGGCTGGTCTTGCCACGTGAGCCCCGAGGGCCAAACACTCTACACCAACCACTACACCCAAGAGCAGGTATGGGCAGCGGGCAGATGTGCCCGGACAGACCCCCGCCCCGTCCCCCCCTCCACTCTTCCACCTCGTCCTCACTAGTAGTTCCCCTTAACACCATAAGCCGCAGCTCCTGGGCCGGTAGCCTGCCCCTGACCCTCCAAACTCCTTGGGGCTGAATTGGGCTCTGGTACAGGGAAACTTTGCCTGCCTCCCATGAGGTGGGCTGAGAGTCCTTCCCACAGTGGGTGCGGTTGGAGGACCAACATGGGCACCCCTACTTCTACAACCCAGAAGACACCTCAGTTCAGTGGGAGCTGCCCCAGGTAACCAGCTGGGATAGGGAGAGCCTTGGGGAGAGAGGAGGGGATTATATATGACGTCGACTCTGTCCTCAGTTCCTGTCCCTGCCCCTCGAAGTTCCTGCAAATCCAACCAGGACAGTGAGACCCCAGCCCAGGCCAGCCCCCCTGAGGAGAAGGTAAGGGAAGGAGCTCATAGGCCCTGGCAGGACCCCTACAGAAGACACAGGGGCTTCCTGAAGGTTGTGCGGGACGGGACAGACTTGGGCATGTCTCCCCCACAGGCCCCAGCGACTAGCCTGGGCCTGGGTCTGGGTCATCCCCCACCCCCCAGGGATGCGTGACGTTGGGAACTGGGAGAAAATCTCTCCTCCGGGGCTGAGAACTGGCACCCCACCTGCACCAGCAGCAAGGAGGGTTCAGTGGTGACTCAGGCCCAGGCTGTAAGGAGTTGCTGGCTGCGGAGGAGACTAGCCTCTGCCCCCTTGTGGCCCAGCCCCTTAACTGCCTCCTCTTTCCCCTTGGCTTTCTGAGATCAAGACTCTGCACAAGGCCGGTGTGCTTCATCGCACCAAGACGGTGGACAAGGCGAAGCGGCTCCGGTAAGAGGCGGCTGCACCCAGACCACGGCAGAGTGGGCCTTAACGATGACATTTACCGAGCGCCTCCCGGCTCTTGTTAATCCTTATAGCAACTTGCTAAGAAGTCCCATGAGGACACCGAGGCACCTGGAGATAGTAACTTGCCCAGGGGCCCTTGGCTACCAAGTGTTAGAATTGAGAGTCCAGCCCTCACCCGTTGGATGGCCCAGGTTGAGCTGTGTTCTTAAGCTCTGTGCCCTGCTCCTGAGGGTGGAAGGGGGCCTCAGCTCAGGGCCAAATGCAAGCCTGGCCACCCCCACTTCCCCACCTCCACCTAGGAAGAAGCACTGGAGTGCCTCCTGGATGGTGCTGGAGGGTGGCGTCCTGACATTCTTCAAGGACTCGAAGGCCTCAGCTGCAGGCGCCCTGGTAAGGCCCAGGCTCCCAGGATAGGGACACTGCCTGCCCCCCACCCCCACCCCCATCTGCTCCTGACTGGTGCAGCTCTTTACTGGATCTGGCTTGTCAGAGGCTAGGTCTGCGATAGTGGATCATGAGTGCCAAGGGAGCCGGGCCTTGGCAGGGGGTGATGACAGTGGATTCAGCCCATGACAAGCATTTCCAGCCACCCTGGGCATGGGGAGTGGTCCTTGAGGGTGGCCACTCCAGCCTGGGAGGCAGGCAGACTGGGGACTGGGGCCCCTGCTCCCCGGGACGAGGGCTGTGCCTTTCCCTTTTCCTCTCCTGGATGGGCAGGCAGCAAAGGACCTGCGAGTCCAGGACCGCTGGGTTCCAGGAACCCTTGGATGCCCCTTCCCCATTCTGGCCCTTGAGCCAAGGGAGCCTGGTGGATTGGAGGCAGGGGCTGTGGCAGGCCTGTCTGAACTGAGGGCTCCCTGTAACTCTGCTTCCCCCAATGCTTCTCCCACAGAGGCAGCCTCCCAAGCTCTGTACCCCTGAGTACACAGTGGAGTTGAGGGGAGCCTCTCTCTCCTGGGCCCCCAACGAGAAATCTAGCAGGAAGAATGTGCTGGAGGTGAGTGGTGGGGGTTGGGAGGAGAGGGGGCTTACTGGTAGCTTGAGATCCTCACTAGGCGAGCCCCAAGAAGGGGAACCTGGGGAAAGCGGGACTGGAATTCTCAGGACTCAAAGCCAAAGTTGTGCCCACCTTGGGGATCTGTCCACAGTGTTTCTGGCATCATGGATTCTGCAGTTCCCTCTCCAGGAACCCAGCTACAATCACCAGAAGATGACCAACAATCCAGGGATGGAGGGGGCGAGACTACAAAAAATAGGAGGTGTTTTGAGTCTGTCACCATATATGCGAGTTCTTTCCTTGTGGCCTATGGGATGTGGGTCTTGTTAGCGAGGCATTTGTTGCCTTTATACTGTCTTCTTCTACTTATATTTGTTGTAATTTATATTTTTTAACCTGTATAGAATCTGTTTTGTTTTTAGGTATGGTTGAGGTAGGGGTTCTAACATTTCCCCCCTACAGAAAGATCCAGTTACTTTAAAATCTTTTATTGATGGTTCATTCTTTCTTAACAGATCTAAAATACTATTCTTTTTTTTTTGTAAGATTTTATTTATTCATGAGAACACACACAGAGAGAGACAGAGACATAGGCAGAGAGAAAGCAGGCTCATCTCAGGGAGCCCAATGTGGGACTTGATCCCCAGACCCCGGTTCACCCTGTGAGTCAAAGGCAGATGCTCTACCACTCAGCCACCCAGGCGTCTCTAAAATACTTTTCTTTTTTTTTTATCTATGATGAGTCACAGAGAGAGAGAGAGAGAGAGAGAGAGAGAGAGAGAGGCAGAGACACAGGCAGAGGGAGAAGCAGGCCCCATGCACCGGGAGCCTGACGTGGGATTCGATCCCGGGTCTCCAGGATCTCCCTGGCCAAAGGCAGGCGCCAAACCGCTGCGCCACCCAGGGATCCCTAAAATACTTTCTTATCTGGACTCTTATCAGTCCAGTTTCCTTTCCCATATCACACTATATACTTAATTCCAATTGCTTTAAAATAACCTATATTGATGTCTGGCAGAGTTAAGCTCCTGCTCTTTGACCTCCTTTTTCATACATTTCATAGCTAGACTTGCATATCCCTTTACCATATGTCAGCTGGCCAGTTTTTATTAAAAAGAAAAAGAAAAACTATCTTGGGATTTGAATAGGATTGCATTGAGTTTGAGGAGAATTGACATCTTTGCAATATTCTAGGAAAATGGTGTCATCATATATTCATTTCTTAATGTCCTTCAGAAGAGTTTTAATGTTTTCATCTGAAAGGTCTTCCCCATTCTTTGATGTAAGTTTATTCCTAGGTACTTTTGCCTTTTATTGATATTTTTAATTTTTTTAAGGGTTTTATTTATTTATTCATGAGACACACAGAGAGAGAGGCAGAGACACAGGCAGAGGGAGAAGCAGGCTCCATGCAGGGAGCCCGATGTTGGAGTCGATCCCGGATCCAGGAACACACCCTGGGCTGAAGGCAGGTGCTAAACCATTGAGCCACCGAGGTGTCCTTCCTTTTATTGATATTATAAATGGGACCATTCTTCCATTTGTTAATTAGTTATTTGTGGAACATAAGAAATGTACTGCATCATTTAGTATGTTGAGCTCTTGATTTTGTATCTAGCCATCTTACTGAATTCTCATATCACTTCCAGTAAAATTTATTTATTAATTTTTTAAATATTTTATTTATTTATTCATGAGACACAGAGAGAAGAAGAGACACAGGCAGAGGGAGCATTAGGGTGCATTCAGGGACCCTGATGTGGGACTTGATCCCAGGACCCTGGGATCATGCCCAGAGCCAGAGGCAGGTGCTCAACTGCTGAGCAACCCAGGCATCCCACTTCCAGTAAATTTAAGTTGATTCTCTTGGGCCTTTTAGGTTGTCCATAATTTCATATGCAAACATGTTTTGTTTCTTCCTTTCCAATACTCAATTTTTTCCTATTGCATTGAGATGCCTGGAATCTTTAAGAGAATTTTTTTCCTATTGCATTGATTAGGACCTCTTCAGTGAACATGATGAATAGTAACAGGAATAATAGGCATTCTACTCTTGTCCTAGACTTTAAAACAATGTTGCTATTTTTAGGTTTCTGGTAGCTACTTTTCTTTTCTTACTTCTAAGAATTTTTTTAGTATTTTATTTATTTATGATAGTCACACACAGAGAGAGAGAGAGGCAGAGGAGGAAGCAAGCTCCATGCACGGGGAGCACGACGTGGGATTTGATCCCGGGTCTCCAGGATCGCGCCCTGGGCCAAAAGCAGGCACTAAACTGCTGTGCCACCCAGGGATCCCACTTCTAAGAATTTTTAATAGGAATTACCTGTTGGATGTCATCTAAAACAGTCAATAAAATGTATTGCCACCTGCACACAAGTTCCCAAGTTGGGACTATGGAAGAGTCAAAGGACTACTAAACAAACAGAATTCCTGCCCTCAAAAACGGCTGAATAAGACTTAAAATACAAAGGAATGACTACGGATTTGGAGGCATGGTCATTGAGATGGGTACCTGTGATATGATTTCTTCCAAAACAGATTTATTCTCATAGAGCAACACCAGTGGAAGATGAAGAAGGAGGCTCAAGGTAACTTGGCAATTATTAAAGCAGAATTTCAGAACTAGATTTTAGAACTCCTATTTCACTCCCCTTGTTTTACACCCAGGAAACTACCAAAGACAGAAAGAATATTGATTTGGTCTAATGCTTTGCCTGGATCCAGCCAAATTAGCTTCCCAGACAAATCTGAGTTAGAATGGAACTGACACAGAGCATCTACTGTCACTACTCCTTTAAAGAAAAAGGGTGGAGAGGGGTGGGGTGCACCTGTTCCTGCTGGTAGTGACCATCAGGCCTGGCTACAGAGTCTTGGGCTAAGACGGCTACTCTTCAAGGCTGATGGAAGGCAGAAAAATACGACTCCTTCCTGTAAAGTGGCAGGAAAACTTCCCTCCTCCTCCTAGTTTTTGATCCACCACTCTCCATTCCCTTTGTCCAGACTCCACAGACTGTTAACTGGGAGAGGCCTTAGGTAATAGTTTGTCTCTTCCTTTTTATAATAAGGAAATGGAGAAGAAAGGGAAGGTAAATTGCCCCATGGGCATACTCCTACTGAGTGTCAGAAGATGGTCCCTTTCCAGAGGGGCACTTCTCCTCTGATTATACTGTTCTTGGGCTGCGAGCTAGATTTTATGTCACAACTCAGTACATATATACTGTCAAGACATAAGCAGGTTTTTAAAAATATTTTTTAATTTATTCATGAGAGACGCAGAGAGAGAAGCAGAGAGATAGAGGATAAGCAGGCTCCTCTCATGGAGCCTAATGTGGAGTCGATCCCACACAGGCTCTGAGCCAAAGGCATTACTCAACTGCTGAGCCACCTGGGCGTCCCAACATAAGCAATTTCTAAGACAAACTTACTATACACTCTGACTTTTTTATATTGTTTGTATTCAAAAATAATATTTTGTGTTTTACTGCTGGCTGTGACCTTTAAGCTGATTTCATGACTCATTCACTAATTAGCCACAGCCTGCAGTGAGAAAGTGAGTTAGGTAACTTTGTTGGTTGGACTCATGCATTTATTTGGTGTGAATAACTTGTAGGATAAAGCAGCTAGGAAAATAGAAACACCTCTCTCTCCTCCTCCCCAGCAAATGATGCCTATGAAACAAAGTCCAAAGGGGACCAAAGTAAACTGCTTCTGGAGAGAGTAAGGTGCTTCTGTGTTATACTTGCACAGTTTGTTCACTGCACGAGGGCACTCGGCCAAGGGCCCAGGTGAGCAGGATGAAAATCTTGCTTATACTCAATGCCAAGCCACATACAAAGGCCTCCCGAGAGAAATTGTGGGGCCATTATGGACAGACATGGGAAAATTCTGGAAGTCTAGCATGCATGGGATTATTTTCAGGATCCCGGGTCTGTAGTGATTTTGCTTCCTGTGATTATGGACTGAGATGTCCTAATAGGACCAGAGATACACATTGTGAGAGGCATGGGAAATGGCGTGCATCACTAACTGTCTCATATGTGTTTCCTCCAAGGCTCTTGTTTCATTCTCTGCTGCATAAGAGATGCTCTATCGAACATGAGAGTCAGGGTAAATGTGAGGAAGTTAAAGTCCCATGGCTGGAGAGAGCAGGGGAAATGCAGAATTAACAATGTCCTTTCTGTTTTCTAGGAGGGCTTTTTCTGGAGAAGGCGGCCACTTTGGCATCGGGACATGTACAGACCTCTCAATGCCACACGGAAGAAAAACATGGCACAGAAGCTACAGGAAAGGGATTCTTCTGATGAGGATGAGGTTTTCAACAAGGGACCAGGGTACCTGATTGGGGACAATTTATACTTCTTTTCTAAAATGAGTTAATTATGAAAAGTTTAATTGTTCCTTTACAGAGTTAAAGGCATTCTTCTTCTTTTTTTTGCAGAGAGAAAGGTGATGCCCCAGCAGAGAAGCCTCAGGCTGCAGATTCAGCTGCTGAACACCTGGGTGAGGAGAGCAACAGTGAACTCCACACTGTCATCGTCCTCAAGTGACCTTGTCCTGCCTCAGGCTGTCTATAAAGCTTATTTTCATTTTCTTTTTATTAATAAATTATTTTTTATTGGTGTTTGCCAACATATAGAATAACACCCAGTGCTCATCCCATCAAGTGCCCCCCTCAGTGCCCATCACCCAGTCACCCCCACCCCCCCGCCCACCTCCCCTTCCACCACCCCTAGTTCGTTTCCCAGAGTTAGGAGTCTCTCATGTTCTGTCTCCCTTTCTGATATTTCCCACTCATTTTTCTCCTTTCCCCTTTATTCCCTTTCACTATTTTTTATATTCCCCAAATGAATGAGACCATATAATGTTTGTCCTTCTCCGATTGACTTATTTCACTCAGCATAATACCCTCCAGTTCCATCCACGTCGAAGCAAATGGTGGGTATTTGTCGTTTCTAATGGCTGAGTAATATTCCATTGTATACATAGACCACATCTTCTTTATCCATTCATCTTTCGATGGACACCGAGGCTCCTTCCACAGTTTGGCTATTGTGGACATTGCTGCTAGAAACATCGGGGTGCAGGTGTCCTGGCGTTTCATTGCATCTGTATCTTTGGGGTAAATCCCAGCAGTGCAATTGCTGGGTCGTAGGGCAGGTCTATTTTTAACTCTTTGAGGAACCTCCACACAGTTTTCCAGAGTGGCTGCACCAGTTCACATTCCCACCAACAGTGCAAGAGGGTTCCCTTTTCTCCACATCCTCTCCAACATTTGTTGTTTCCTGCCTTATTTTTCTTTCCCCATTCTTGGACTGGTGTGAGGTGGGATCTGGTATTTCATTGGTTTTGAAATGCAGAAACATGTATTACAGGTAACTGATGGCAGAGGAACATGCCAGGAAGCTAGAATCCTCATGTGAGACTGTTGGCCACAAGATGCAGTCCACGCAAGATTTCTGAATATGTCTTTTCCCCATTTCCCCAATATTGGATTGTCTGAAGACTGGAAAAGTTATCTCCAGTTGTTTATAGACTATTAAATCAATTGGCAGTTTATTCTGTGCTCTTGCAAATATCTTCACCAAATACAAGTTATTCACAGTTTTGTTTGTACCTGCTGTGCAAAAGCTTCTTATCTTGAAGATCATCAGTTTCTGGCCCCTCTTGTAAGATTTTTAGCGTTACCAGAATATTTGGATCACTGTAGCCTAGCTCCACAGTAGGGCTGTGGCCTCTTTTGTCATTCCAAGCAGCTCAAACTCATGCACATCTTATGTGCAAAGTCTTGGCATAGGGGTTTTCATTTTATTACAAGCTATATGGTGCACATTTTGGTATTTTGTTTCTTTTTTAAAAATGTCAAATGTCCAAGCCTTGGATAGCTAGCAACAGGGGCTGGAGAACTAGTCTTTCTTCTAATATGATAGGGTGTTAATTACCCAAGACTGCCCTCCTTGAGTCCTTTATTTCAGAAAATATATTGGTGGTGCCAATATACCCATTCTCATGGACCACCCCACTGGCCTCTCCTGACTCCACTGAGGGTCAGATGTGTGCTACCAGGCTCTCTCCCAACGCCAAACCTCCACCAAACCTACTACTGCCTTCCTCAACCAACAGAGATAATGAAGCACAGGGATAATGAAGCGCAATCAAGTGGAAGAAGAAGCACAACTCCCTCCACTTCTGGGATGCCAGGGTGGCTCAGATGGTTAAGCATCCATCCCTTGGTATCAGCTTTGGTCATGATGTCTTAAAGGAATGGATGCTCACCACTGTGGGGCTAGCAGTGGTGAAATTGTCAGGTTACTTTACCACAGCTGCTTTTCATACATGCAGCTTGCTGCTGCTGCCACTCAAAAGTCAGTACACTTTTGGGAACCCACTGCTGAACTCACTGCAGCCCTCCATGGTCCCAAGCCTGTGACTGGCAACAAGGAGCCCCAACATGTAGGTTCACATCTGCTACTGCAGAGGAGGAAAGAATGGTTTCCATTCCTCTTCACCTCCTAGATTTCACACAGGTACATTTTATTGGCAGAACTCTGCTGTCAAGGGAATCTGTGAAATGTTAAATAGTGTGGTGGGGGTTTCTAGCACCTGCATTCTAAGGGATAGAATGGGTAGCAAGAGCATAACCAATACTATCTAACAAATGGGTGGGTGTTAAAGTCTTTTCTAAAAGGAGGGTGTTGTCTACATGGAGTAGTAACATGGTGGAGAGTTAGCTAAGTCAGAAACACAAAAGGTGTCATTCTAGCTGGGCAGCAGGTTAAGGTACCAGATACTGGATAAAATCACATGCAGTCATCCCAGAGTTGACTGGAGAAGCACTTGGAGTTGATTCTTCTTTGTTGGTGATTCAGAATGTTCTCACTGGAATGAAAGCTGGATGGACTAATGGCAGTGAGGTATCTGAGAAAACATAGTCCCCATTCAAAAGGGCTGCCAGAGGAAACATCCTTCCCATAGGGAAACAGAGGTTCCAAAAATGTGGCCTTGTGGGGATCCCTTGGTGGCTCAGTGGTTGAGCCAACCTGCCTTGGTCCCAAGGCATGATCCTGGAGTCCTGGGATCGAGTCTCCACATCAGGCTCCCTGCATGAAGCCTGCTTCTCCCTCTGCCTGTGTCTCTACCTGTCTCTGTGTGTGTCTCATGAATAAATAAATAAATCTTTTTAAAAAAAAAATTTTTGGACCTCTAAACTCAAACATCCTTGGGATGCTTATTTAAAAGGCTGATCCTGAAAAATAAGCAAATTAATTTTAAAAGCTGATCCTGCACATCTCCCCTGTCGAAAACAAACCAAACCAGGCACTACTTAAAGTGGTCCAGACAGATTTCCATAGTAATAGAATATTGCAGTGGCACAGGGAAAAGGGTTCATCGTGAACGGAACTCAACTGGGGTAAGTACAGAGGTGACTGAGTATTGCACAGGGACATTGAGGGACTAGGGAAGGGAATGAGTAGGTGCTCAATAGTCAGAAGTGAGAGATTACAACAGGCAGGAAGGGGTTAGCCCATTGGAACCATCTGGATTTGCTAACTGGCCCTTACCAAGGCTAGACTCCTACTCTCTCACAGAAGCTGGGAAACAGGGGCCCTATCTTCAGGTGGTGGCTGGAATAAGCAGCAAATTCTTTATTTTAATTACAGCCTTGAGTTCACGGCAGGCACTTTAAGGGAGACTGGGGTCTTACTAGGGCAGTGGTCAGGAGCTGCTGAAAACTCCATTGGCCTCTGTTCAAGCCTTCACAGGCCTCAGGACCGTTGGCCCCGCCCCGCGGCTCCTCCCGCCCCGCCATTGGCTGCGCGGGCCGGGGGCGGGGCCGAGCGCCCAAGCGCGGGGATGGCGTCAGGCGCCGCCAGCGCAGTTTCCGGGTGTCGGTGGCGGAGAGGCCGGAGCGTCGGGTCAGAGGCGCAGAGGCTGCAGCGGCCAGGAGCGACCCCCGCCCCTCCCCGCTCGCTCTGGTGAGTCCGGGGTCAGGGGAGGGGGGAGAGGGGCGGCGGGGTCGAGATGCGAGCGGGCGGCGGGCGCCTTCCGTGGTCCCACGCCCCTGGTTGCCTTTGCGCTGTCCCGCTTCAGAACCCTTTGCCTTCCCGGTTCTAAGCCCCGCACCCTACCCCCTCGGAGCCGAGCCTTCAGCCCGCACAGCCCCTGCTGACCGCCCCCTCCATCTTCTCCCGACGGGGACCCGGGGACCCGAGCCCAGCACGTACCCCCACCCCTCACCTCTGTGTTGTGTAAATGCAGCCACACTCTTGACCCCCTGCTAAGTCCAGTTCCAACCCTGAGCGCAGACACATCCCTCCTCCGCCCTCTGAAGCGTCACACCCTCACCCCTCAACCCCTGTGGCAATCCCGGTGCTCCACGCCAACCTCCTCTGAGCCCCACCAGCCATGGCTTTCCCTTTTCCGACTCAGCTTTCTTATCCCAGTCCCCGAAGGTCTGCTCAGCCCTACCACCCCACCTCCACCCACCCTTATTCAATGCCTGCCATCCAAGCGGATGCCCTGCTGAGCTCACCCCCTCATCTTGATAGCTCTGATCTCAGCCCTATCCCAAGTCTTCTATGTATCTTCTTGTCCACACCGACTCAACCCCTCACTTCCCAGCCATCCTGAGAACACTTCATCTTTGCTAAACTGCACCAATTTATACTCTGGCTCTGCCGCCCCAGTTCCTACCACCCCAACCCAATCTTCTTAAAATGAGGCCTCCATGCCCCCATCTCTTCCTCTCAGCTCTGTGCCCATTCTTCCCTTAATGCTGTCCCGCCATCTGATCTGAAGACTTAGTGCAGTCTCTTGCCAGCCCCACCTGCTGCCCCCCAACAGCCAATCCAGGTGCTTTTTCAGAGCCGGGTAGTTACTGAGCAGCTCGATTGGTACAGGGCCTCAGATGGTAAGTAAGTGTGGAGGAGTAGAGATCTATGTCCTGTGGTTCAAGAGGTTTTCCTGAATGTCTCCTCTCCTGTACCTGTCCTCAAGGATTGTGTTTCTAGCATTCATATTATGTTACTTGTGTTGGCTGCTGCAGTGGTACCTTGTCATCCAAATACCTGGAAGGTGAGGGATGGCTACTCATTCAGCCTGGGACAGTGGAAGCTTATCACTTCCTTTTGGACGATAATCTGTAGAAACTCAGGGGTTGCACTATGTGGGGTTGGCTGTGGTCACAGACCCATGCCCATGAAGGTTTTCCTGGCATTTAGAGACGACCCTCACCCTGGGGCTCCTCCCAGCCAGAGCTGATTGCAAGTTAGTCCCAGTACTGAACACAGGGAACACAGTACTAGACGTGATGTTACATGTTGTGAAGAGTGTAGGTGAGTGGATCCTGGGGAAGCTGATGGCTAGGTGGCTTTGGAGGTTTTTGAATTGCTTCCTCTTTTTGTAGGTGCTGGATCGTTGAGTTTTGACCATTTTGATTGCCCTTGAACTGAGAGAGCCAAGTTCCTCTAGAGTAGCTAGACATTCTTGAGGCACCCAGGCCCATTTGTTAACATTTATAATTTATAATTTCCTTGGGGTTTTGGATACACATCCCCTGTAAGTTCTGGTGACCAGGCCCCAAGGGATTGGCTGT